GGTGCACGCACATGCACACACATGCACACGGGTGCACGCACATGCACACACATGCACACGGGTGCATGCACATGCACACAGGTGCACACACATGCACACGCACACGTCGTAAGCCCCAGGTTCAAGGCTGTATCTGCAGGCACACAGCACCCCTTCTATACTAAAGAGGCAGCAGTGAGCGGGTGCCCAGGGAAGCACCAGGCACTTTTAAGGAATTCTCGTAGCGGGGGGTGGATACCGCCACTACCCACGAGCCAGCCATTGCCGACTCCATCAGGAGACACGGTCAGAGTCCCCAGGATGCCTTCAGTTCCCCAGCTCCCCACTCTGAACTGTCCGCACTGGGGACCCATCCATTAATACATTCGGGGGGACACTCCAGATTCAAACCCTAACAGGACACTTCTCAAGGGCCTGAGCGCCATCAAAAGGAGACCCCAGCCTCCAAGACGGCGCGGGAGGACCACTGCTAACTCCGGTCGCCACCCGCCCACGGACACAGCTGCCCGGTGTCATCGCACAGAGCCGCCCTGGGTACTTCCCCGACGGAGCCCCCCACGCGCCCTCTTCCTTCCTTGCCTTCCATTGGTCCACGGAGGCTGCGGAGGCCATGCAGCTCGGGGACAAACCATCCTCCATCGGCTCTGCTGCAGGTGACACCTCTGACGTCTGGGTTGTGAGGACAACGGTCGCCTGGGTTACGTTTCAGGCACCTGGAGACCATTTTGTCCGAACCACAGAATCCCGCCTGGTCCTGAGCAGGTGTCCTGCTGAGTTGCTCAGCACCTCGGTTTTGCGGAGGCTGGCTTTGAACTCATGATCCTCCTGCCTCGGCCTCCTGGGCCACTTGGATTACAGGCGTGCGCCACGCTGGTGGCATGTCCCCCCACACTGCTGGGTTTGGGCTCTCCCTCTCGGTCTTCACCATCGGTTCAACTCGATGCTTCATGCCTGTTCCCAGCGGCTACTTCATGTACTTTTATAGTCACCATCTGCTACACAGGAAATGTCCTCCCTGCATTTTGGTCTGAGAAGGTTAAAGCGTTCTGCTAAAGATGGAGGAGGCTTCTTGCGGAACCCAGGATCAATGCTAATTAGTCAATAGTCTCCTTGCGAGGTCTTCCACGTGGGCATCCGTTATTTCTCTTGTGTTTGACGAACCCAGACAATTGCACCAGTTCTCTGCGTAGCTATAACCCCGGGAATCCGGGAGACACGGTGTTTCCCCTATGGCAAGAGTCTGCTATCGCTGCACAAGCGATGACCACCAGAGCTTCAAACAAGACACAGCCCTGCGCGAGCTGGCGGGAGGTCCCACGGTGCCCTGGGTGGTACCAGGCAACATTCAGTTGCAGGCAGGGCTCTCTGTTCCCATCTGGAGGCTCCAGAGAAGAACCATTTCCTTGCTAATCCAGGTACTAGATGGAGTCCCTTGCATTGGGTCGCAAGGCTGAGGTTCCGTGTCAGTGGGGAGCCGCTGGTAGCAGCTGCACCTGAACCCGCCTTTCACATCTCAGAATCAGCCACAGCACCTCCAGTTTAGGACACGGCTCCACTTCTCAAGACTCATCTGCTAATTCTGGGTCCAGTGGGACAATGCAGGAGCATGTCTGTCTTTACAGCTCTGGGGGTTCAGGTACGGATGTCTTTGAGGGCCGACCAAACCCAAAGGGACAGAAAAGATGACTATTTTCATTTAGCTTCAGGTGTGACCAGAGCAGAAGGCTAGAGAATGCACTGTCCCGCCAGGTGGACCGCTAACTAGCTACTGAATTTCGCACACGTCATGGAACAAGCAAGACCCACTTTGAAAGCAGGCCACTGTCAAAGATGCCACCTCGGCTGGTTTATGTCTTCATTTGTGTTCCTTCATTCCTCACGTGTTGGTGGAGCCCCTGCGTCGTGGCTGGCCATGTCCCGGGCACTGGGGCAGCTGTGGGCAAACCAGCAATCGCTGACCTCCTGGCGGAGCGTCCTGCAAACAGCGAAAGCCAAAGCAACCAAGCAGCAAGATGTGCGGGATGCGAGGCCAATAAACCAGGTGGGGACGATAGAAACAAAGAGGGTGGCTATTGGGTACCAGATACAGGCGCCTAAGAGGCATAAGTCCTGGTGCTGGTGTAGAGTGGCCACGGTAATTTTATCCTGTATTTCCAAGTTGCTAGAAGAAAGGGTTTTTCATATTCCCCAGGAAATGATGACTGTTGCAAGTGACGGACCTGCCCATGGCCCTGCTGGGTCGTTTTGCCATTGTGCGCGAGTATCAGAAAATCACATTCTGCACCACGTCAATACGTGCCATCGTCACATTTCAACTCGAAGAAACTATGCCAGCCGAGGGAAGGGGCCCTGCTTCTTCTACATCACGACAGCCCCCGTCTCTTCCTAGGCGAGCCGGAAGAGAAACGCCAGTCCTGGTGTGCCTGCATGGGTCATCGATAGCCTGGGACGACTCAGGTGTGGGGTGACCAGCTGTCCTCTTGATATTGTCTAAGTCTACCGAATACTATACTAAGATTTATAACAAGATCACGGAAGAAAATTCTTCTTCTGAGATTAAAAGACGGTTGTAAGTGATGGCGGTGAACAGGAACGCCGAGTGTTTCCGCCTGTCGATGCAACATGTCATCAAGCATTGCGGACAGCAGCAGCAAGATGATGGTAAAAACCAGTGCACCTGCCGTCTAACCCGAGTTTTTCAGCCTCCACCCATTACCTCCTGCGGCATCAAAACATGATTCTCCGTGTCATCCAAAGTCGCCATGATTCGCACAAAAGGACGGAGGAAGATCTGCCCCGTTTTCTAAAGATGGGCGCCCTGCCCGAGATACGGACACTCGAGCGTGGTCACCTGAGCAAGTTCACGGTTCTTTGGAAATCAACCCGTAAAAGCGTTTCCCAGAGATAATGAATTCCCCACCAAGCAATTTCCACATGCCCGCGGACAGAAAGGCATTAAATGCAAGACGCAAGACACAAAACTGAACATGAGATTGAAAAGCGGAGACCCGGGAACCAGAGCTGGTTCCCAGGGTGGTCCGGCAGGATAACCTGGAAGCCAGAATCAGACAGGCAGCCCGTGCAGGCCCAGGCAGGTTGGGTCACGGAGGCCAGCTGGGAGCAAGTCTTAGGCTGCACCCTGAGGGCCTGAGATGCTAATTCCCTCAGAGCCCTTCCTCCATCTTTATCAGGCTCCAACCTGTTGCCTAGGTAACCAGCCCCAGGACCAGCCCTCCCTACAGGGTTGTTAATTAACGTGTGTCCTGGCCTGCACCACCCTGCCCCTTCTCCCTCCTGGGACAAGTCTGCGTTGCCCCTTTCTAAATAAACCCTGCTTCATATGCTGCCTCGGCGTGCTTCTCCAATGTTCAAACCCGTGGGGAAGCGGGACTCGTCACCAACGACCAGCGGTAGGTGTCAACCTTGGCGTGTGTCACACCCCATAAAATCTTTCCACCGGCTCTTCCTCATTGTTGAGTCATAAAAGGGCCCTCCTACGGGCTGGGGCTGGGGCTCGGTGCTGGAGCGCTCGCCTGGCACGTGAGAGGCCCTGGGTTCGAACCTCAGCACCACATAAAAATAAACGAATAAGGTAAAGGCATTGTGTCCAACGACAACTGGAAAATAAATATTGAAAAAAAAAAATTGAAATAAAAGGGCTGTCCTGAGGCCTGTGCCTCCTGATTCACAGACGGCTCTGGACGGGTGGAATAAGAGCGCCCGTGTGGACGCTCCTCCACAAACGGCCCAGTATCGGCCACGTAGATTTCAGGGAGTACCATGGCTACTAAACGGCACCCGCAACTCGCTTCCCACGGTCAGAGGTGAAGCTTGAAAATGAAGAGACAGTAGAGGAGGCGTGGGCCTGGCGGCCTGGGGAGCGAGGCTGGGAGAGCCATTCATCAGACACAAGATTTACTGCGCCCTGAGCATCTATCAGCCTGGTACCCCACCCCGGTACCCGACCCCGGATCTGAAGAGCCGGCCCGGCGATGCTTGTTATTTCTAGGAAGTATCTAAATCAGCATTTGTGGGTTTTATTTTTTTTTGCAAATGGGAGACGCGGCTGGGCTACCTTAATGAGGTCTTCCCTGGAGGGAAAGCGGGAGACCAGGTAGTTCTGGCGGGTCCTGGTGTTGGTGATGGAGACGTACAGGCGGTCCTGGGCCAGCTCGTGGGCGTGGGGAGGGAGGATGGACTCCATGCCGCTCCTGGAGGAGGGAAAGCAAGCCGCACGCACGCGTTACTCACCGTGAATGATTGAGCGACTGTGTAAATAGTTCATAGCTGGAGAGCGGTCGACGCTCTGTCTTCGAGTCCTTGGGGTGGGGGACGCGCCATGGAGACACGTACCTCAGCCGGGCCATGAAGTCGTAACCGGGGGTCACCGCACCGAAAGACTGCTTCCGCGTTTCTTCAGCGAACTGATAGGTGAACCGGTTACAGTCCTGAGAAAGAAATGAACGTCGGACCCCTCTGCACTGTCCACAGGAACTCATCCCTCTTCCAAAATGCCGCCCATTGCTCTGCATGGCACACGCCCTCCCCGCCGGACACGGGATGCCGCACTCTTTTGCACAAGTGTGCAAATCTCCCCCCTCCCATCTCCTCATCCACTCTCCTTGGGCCCAGGGCAAATTACTTGTTCTTACAATTTGTCTCTCTCTCTCTCTTTCTTCCTTCTTTCTTTTTAAGCCACCTCAAAAGGCCTTGAAGACGGGACTGAAATTCTAATTTAGAGCATTCTTCCACAGATTGCCTCGCACCATTAACCTTCTCTCCCTCCCCAGTTCCCGGGCCTCAGAAGCATTTCAGTGGCAGCCCCACAAGGGCACAGATGAATGACAACGGATGCAGGAAGCACAGTGGCCGTCTCTGGACGTGTGTCTCGGAGCACTGGACAGCCTGCAAGTCCCTGGGGCAGGGGTGCTCCTGTGTGCACCCAGGGCTGGGATCCACCAAGGCCGGCTGTCACACGGCATGTGTTGGCGGCACGTCACACGGCATGCAAGCTGGGTCCGATCGCCTCACTTGGCAGGTAAGAAAACCGAGAAAACTGCAGAGATGAGAGGACCTTTCCCAGCAGCACATCAGAAATGCACGTGGGAGCCAGGATTGGAACCCAGGTCTGCACTCTGAGCCAGTCAGGTTCTCTGAAGGAGCCGCAGAGTCACTGTAAAGATCCTGCAGAGGCTGGACCCTGCCTGGGCTGGGCACCTTAATGTGGCGGGGCGACTTGCCTGGCACACTCGGATTCCATATCTGGTGAATTCAGTCAATACTGGGCTACTCCCCGAGATTTGGGAAACCTTGGTTTTCTGCCTTTTTTTTTTAAGTGCCGCCAGTAGCGGGGCCTCAGTCCTTCCCGTTTCCTCTCTTTTGCTTCCTGGCCATAAGGTGAGCGACGTGCTCCACCCGGTGCTCCGGCCGTTGCCGTCCGACATCAGAGCACCAACGCCGTGGTCGGTTCCATTTGTTCGGGGAACATCGTGAGCCCTAACAAACATTTTTGTCTTTGTGAGTCGGCTTTTTTCCAGGCATTTTGTAGTGGCCGCTTGAAGTAAGAGAAAAGGGTGAGGCAGAAGGGTCCCAGATGAGAAGCATCGAAGAGGCCACGCTCATGGCTTAGAAGACGGGAGAAGGGGCCCAGAGTCGGGAAACCTGGGCAGCCGTGAGAAGCGGGAAAGGGCAAGGCCAGGGCCTCAGGGGAGCAAGCTTGGGCTGCTGACACTGGAGGCCAGTGGGTGGGAACTGTAAGCTAATAAACTCCTGCTGTCTGAAGGCACCGGGTTGGTGGCCCCTGGTTACAGCATGAACAGGAAGTCAATATAGTGGGTACCAGCCCCCAGCCTCAGGGCGGGAGAGGCTTCCCTCCAGTCTGACGTCTGGGCTAGGACTTTAAGTGGGAGCTGGACGGGGGCAGAGATACAGGAGGACAACGATAAGGAGTGGACTTGGTCACCTTTGAGTGCCCCAAGGTGACCAATGCTACGCCTTCCTTGCAAGTCCTGAGGCTGGGCCAGGAATTGAGGGGCGGTTTGCTGGGGAAAGGCTCTTTGTCCCCTACCCACGCCTCCATCTGCCCACCATTCCGGCTCTGGCAGCTCTTAATTAGACATGGAGGGTGCTCCTCTTAATGAGACCCGCATAAGCTCCCAACGAGATTAATTGCCTATTTGTCACAAGAGTGAAAAAAAGCTCCGGGAATGTACACCACCAAGCAGAGCTGAGCTAACCTGTAATTTGAGGAGACTGGAGAGTTTTCCAAAACAAAAAAACAACAACACAAAAAAAAAACCCTCAAAGCAATTTTATCGACCAGCTATTTCCAATGGCTAAAGAGAAAAGAAACAGCCTTCCATCAACAGGTTATTGTGGCCCGGCCCTGGGGATGGGGGTCAGTGTGTCGGGCATCTGCCTAGTGTGTGTGAGGACCTGGGTGCAATTCCCGGTTGTGCAAAAAAAAAAAAAACCTATTTTGGCAGAAACATTAGTTTTCAAAAGGACCAACGAGGAAATGAGAGTGTCCTAAGGTCGATAAAGAGAATAATTTTCCACCTTCCAACGTGAACACCCAAAAGACCTAACCCTAAGTCACAGCCACATGATTTTTCCAACTTGAAAAAAAATAAAAATAAAAACACATAATCAGATTTGAAAACAGTCCAAGCAAATCAGGCATCGTATTCCAGCGGCACAAAAGCCTATATTACTGTCGCGTTTCCAAACGATGTAAAGAGTTCATCACAGTCAATACGTTTCTGAATTTGCTGAGGACGAGGGAAATCAAATCGACTCAACTCGAGAGCTCAGAGATTTGTTCCACTTAAAGAAAAGACTCAATGAAAAGAGGAAGGGAAAGTCCCCTCCCCCCCTGCCTCTCCAGGCCACAGCTTGCTGCAGCGGGAAAAAAGGAAGCAGGTTCTGGGCGGAGCGAGAGCTTGCAATTCAAAGCACAGGGTTTTGCAAGCTTGGGGGGTGGGGGATTCACACCTCAAGGTTTTCATCCTGTGTGATCACTATGGCTTTTCTGAACTGCCAACCCCCTAAATAGATGAGGTGGCTGGATTTCTTTAAAAAAACTTCCCTGAAATCTGAGACTGAGATCTTGATGTTTGAAATCCCCGCAGCCTTGAGACTCATTCTCGGGCACGAATGGGTTAAATCCCTGTCTTCCGACGGTTCAAAGCCGTTCGCCTGGGTCAGTAATTAGCAAATATTTTTCCTCCACCCATAGAAACCGGCTCGGAGCCGGTGAATGTTTGATCACAGTCCAGATAGCAGAAAGCCGATTTTTAAAAACACAGATTGCATTAAAGAAAATACCTAACGACGGCTATTTTTTTTTTTTTATTACTCCTGGTTCAACTGCTTGGTTAAATTCAGAGCTTCTACTTGCGGTGAGAATTGAAAACAAATTAAATTCCCATATCATTCCACTTAATTGAAATTGTGCGCCCAGTTTCCTTTACGCGCCGGTTAGAAAATAGCAGTGAGCAGAGGCACAGGCCACATGTTCAAGCCTTTGAAAAGAGGCTCTGTGCTCTCCTCCTGCTCATAGAAAGAAGAAAAAAAATCTTTGGCCGCAAGAAACAGTGCTGGCGTCTTAAGGCTAAATAAAAACTCGAGAGCATTTTTATAGCCTTGTCTTACTGTCACCCCAAATCATCTTCTTTTCCAAACCCAGGGCACAGATCCCTAAAGAGCGGATCTCAGAGAAAAGTCTGAGCCTTTTGTTTCCCAGGCAAAGCCTGATTTCTCTGTAAAGAGTCGGGCACTCCTTGCCGCCATTCCCTTTTAATTTCTTAATGAGGAACACAGCCTCGTTACTGCTTAATTACCTCTATTTTTTCTGGCGCTGTTAGCAAGACAGAAGCCACCAAGGATCCTGCAGAGGCCCCCGCGAAGGCCTGGACATCCTTCAGCAGCCTCTTGCCATGTTTGCAAAATGCAGATGCTGCCCCCAAGTGGTAAATGCCCAGAAACCCACAGGCTGCAAACGACAAGTTGATGGGCTTCATTCTGCCTGCAGGACCGTCAGAGGAAAACAAAAATGAATAAAACAAAAAATAATCAAAAAGTTACCCGTTAGTAGAGTTCATTCCACACACTGTGTAATTTTGCACCTGTTTTCCTGCCGTGGTTTTCTTTTAACCTATAATTCTCTAAGTGCAGTGGTTTCCATGAATTCTAATCAATCCCAGCAGTTTTTCAGGGAACCATTTTCTTTTTTTTTTTTTTTTAACATGGATTCAATATTCTGGTTAATTATTAAAACAACAACGAATCGCCCAACTTTCCATACTTGTTCTTTTTAATTACTTGCAAGAAACAAATGTATAAATTCCAACTGGCAAGTCCTCTGAGCTTTTTTTTTTTTTTTTTTTTTGAACTTTTGAGACTTTCTGCTGGGAGAGGGTTGCAAAATGGGGAAATTATTAGAGACTGCATCAAATTCCAAGCCAACAATAGATTTTTTTTTTTTTTTTTTTGCTCTTTGGAAGTGCATCAGTAAATTTCAAAGATAGGTCCTGGTCCACCTCCATTTCCTTATCTTTTAAAAATTCTGATACCCCTTTATTAATTGATAATTGCAGTAAGCGATTATCCAACATTGCAACACCCTTCATTCCCAAGTAGATAAAATTGAGGTCACGGCTCACAAAAGCTCCAGAAGGCTTCCTACAGTGAATTTCCACCACGATATACTTGCAACACACCTAAATAGGAATATTCTGCACGAGCTGCAAAGCCCCAGTGGACACAGTATGCCCATGTGAGGGAAACCCTGTCCCCCCCACACGCCTGTCCACCCTGCCTTCCTAGGGGGGCCCCAAATCCTGATTCTGGGGCGAGGCACCCAGGCTGGACCAGGAATTGAGGGACGGTTTGCTGCTGATACCCCAAGCTGGGCCCGGTGCAGGGGGGAGGCTCAGCCTCTGCAGGCTGCACAGAGAATCCGGGCCAGCGCTGCAGGGCCCAGCCCAGGTTTTGAGCCCACTTCTGCAGGCGTCGGGGGTGCAGGCGGGATTTGGGGGGTCTTTTCCTAGGTGGTCAGGCCCCTCAGGCGCAGACCATGAGATCTCCAGCTGCCCGGGGTAGGTGGGGCTACTGCCTCCTTTCTCCACCCCCGGGGCAGCCCACCCTGACCCTCCGGAGCCTCGCTCGGCCCCGGCGCTCGGTCCTACCAATACCAGCCTGAGGCACTTCCGCGTGGATGGCCCTTCACCAGAAGGGGGCAGCGGGATGTCACTCAAGGCGGCTCCACCTATCAGAGCCGAGTTCCGCTCCTCGAGCGCCCGCCCATGAAGGTCTGGCGTTAGAGTGGGCGGTGCCTCCCCCGCCTCCCGCCCTCACGTCCGTGACGTCATCACGCCGACGCGAAGGCCCGCCGGCTCTATTTAAATCGCGGCGCTCAACATGGCGGCGCCCACGTTACCGCTCGGCCGGGTGTCCTCCGGTGCGGGCAAGGACAAAACTTTTTCGTGTCGAGTTGTGCTCCCTTAACCACCTAGAGATGCGTCTGAACCCTTATGAGCCCTTCAGCGCGACCTGAGGGCTGGCCGCCACCCGCGAACCTGCTGACCTTTAATGACCCTCATCGGCCGTGCTCCGGAAGCGCTTGCTCCTCTCCGTTCTGTGTCCCGGAAACGGTTCGTTTCTCTTCCCCGCCCTGGCGCCCTCCAGAAAGCCCCCCCCCCCCTCCCGCGCTGTTCCTGGAGACTCAGGCGGGGGACCTGGGTTGGGGCGGTTCACACCGCGGCTTTTCAAGGCCCACACCTTTGTTTTTTGTTTTTCCTAAGCACTTTCTGCAAAGGCTGGACCATGACTTGGGGGCAGCTTTTCCCATCCCCATGTGGCTTTAGGCTGTGTGACCTCGGACAGGATGGGCGGTGTCTCTGAGCCTCCTGGGTGTCTCGCCTGCAGAAGGGGGAGGCTCAAAGAGGAGTTAAAAGCTCCATTTTAAAGCTCCTGGGTCCAGTGTCACTGTTGGCTGTGGGTCAGACTCAGGAAGCCCGACCCGGATTGGAAGGGCTCTGGCAATTCTTTTGTAACACCAGAGGCTCCGGAGGCTGAGGCTGGAGGATCTCCAGTTCGAAGCCAGCCTCAGCAGTAGTGAGGCCCTAAGCAGCTCAGGGAGACCCTGTCTCTAAATAAAACACAAAATAGGGCTGGGGATGGGGCTCAGGGGTTGAGTGCGCCCGAGTTCAATCCTGGGTACCAAGAAAAAAAAAAGTGAACAGTGTCCCTGGGTATTTATGTAGGTTCACGGTTGCTAGGGCCTGAGTGTTGGCCTGCCTCCCCAGGTGAATGTGTTTAAATCTCCACACTCACACAGTGTGATGGTGTTAGGAGGTGGGCCTTGGGGAGGTGTGAGGTCCAAGGGTGGCGTCCTCATGGACAGGATTAGTGCTCTCACGAGAGGGCCACCCCAAAGCCCTGTTTCTGCCACTGAAAGGCGCACCTGCAACAGGAACGTGGGAGTCCGCAACCTGAAAAAGAGCTGCATCAGGGCCAGCCTTCTGAGCTACGGGAATTCACGTCCGCCCTTGTTAAACCACAGAGTCTAGGGTCCTCCCTCACGGCCACCTGAGTGGACTGAGACGGTGGTGTGGTTTACACTGGTCTGCTGGCACGGAAAGACTGAGGATAGCCCCTATTTCTTCCTTTCTTTTGCAGAAACAGACCCTGGCACGGTGTTGGCAGAAGGCCTGTCCCTGATTGTCTAGAATGCAGGTGGACACCTCTGCACTGCACAGCTCCGGTGGACACTGCAAACGTGGCGTCCATCACCTCCAGGAGGGATAAGGGTCCAAGTCCCTGCCAGAGTGTGACCCCACCGACTGTAAGTCTCACTGGGGCCACCTGTGTGCTCTGTGACTCTTAAAGTGTGAAACGTGTTTGTTTTGCTCTCTGTTCTATCCTCAATCATATTTCCACGCAGTTAGTTCAAAAGTTCGGCTCCCTCACGTAAGGAAGAACGTCGTTCCCATCCGTCTCTGTCGTTTCTGTACCGCGCATGGCGCTTGGCGCCCGTGTGGAATCAATATGGGTTTCTTTTGAAGGCTGGATCTCCGTCAGTCACCACTGTGGTCTGAGAATATACTAATTGCCCCTTAAAACCGTTTCTTAAGTCCATGTATTTGCTTATTCTTGCTTCTCTGTTTTCCTTAGTGATTTTGTTTTGAACGGGTGCATTTAGTCATTTATCCTGGAATTATCAGGCATCTGGGGGGTAGCAGGTCTGCGCTTGCACAGGGCACCCAGAGCTGACAGGAGTTCGGCCTTTATCACCGGGGATGCAGAGTGCAGCTGGGCGCCGGCTCGTGTAGTCAGAGCACCACAGTGTGGTGCTCTTGCAGAGCCTCACACAGGTGCCCTGTGTGCGCACCCTGAGCTACATGGTGGGAAACTCTGGGCTCTGCATCTGTCACTGCTCCCAGCCCATAAATGAGGTGCTGGAGACCGAAGGCTCCCTGGGATCCCTCTCCCGGAACCTCATCCTGCACAGCACAGTTCCACTCTCCACACTCAGAAACAGTCTGGAAATATTCCACGGGAAGTTCCAAGAATCAGTTCTTTGTCAGTTTTCAACTGCTTGTTGCGCTGAGTAACGTGGTGGTGGTGGTGGTGGTGATGATCTCGTGTCCTGCTCCGTGCTGCTGCTCAGTAGGTGAGCGACCCCTCTGTGCAGTGGATCCACACAGTATACATCACCTGCCCTTCAGTTACTCCGTTGGTTATCGGTTCCGTTGTGGTCGTGTGGCACTGTTGGTATTCAAGTGACATGTGTCTTGCTTGATAATGGCCCTGGGAACGCCAGGTCAGTGATGCAAAGGAGAGGCTGGGGGACAAAACAGGGACTGACCGGTCAACCGTGACCCTGTGTGGCCATGCCGCAGGATATATATAGGAAGAGGCACAGCATGGGTGGGGTCAGTCCTGTCTGTGCGTTCAGGTGTGCACTGAGGTTGTTGGAACATAAGTGCTTCTGAACCTGTCGACACACGTGCACCACCCGGATCTGAAGACCAGGCACGGCAAAGGTCTCCCCCTACTGTGGGCATTTCTGTTGTTGTGTTAAATTTCCTCTTTATTGAACCAAGACAGTTGAAATCAGCTGGTGCAGTGGCTCACACCTGTCATCCCAGCAGCTCGGGAGGCTGAGGCAGGAGGATCACGTGGTCCAAGCCAGCCTCAGCCAAAGTGAGGCCCTCAGCAACTCAGTAAGACTCTGCCTCTAGATAAAATACAAAATAGGGCTGGGGATGAGGCTCAGGGGTCGAGTGTTCCCGGGTTCAATCCCCGGTACCCACCCAACCCAGCAAAAGGAACTGAAGTCAGCATACTTCGTGAATATTCACAACAGCTCAGTTCATAGCAGCCAAGTTGAGAGAGCAGCCGAGGTGTCCATCAGCAGGCGATGGATGAAGGAAACGTGGTGCACATACACCAGGGAGCATTACTCAGCCCTGAAGAAGAAGGAGATCTCGACATTTGCTGGTAAATGGAAGGAACCAGATAGCAGCATGGTGCCAAGTGAAATCAGCCCGACTCAGAGAGTCACGAGGCTGCTGCTTTCTCCCTTATGCAGACGATTGAGAGGAAAAGGGAGTTAAAGACGAGGAGTTCCCAAGAAAGCAGCTGGGACAACAGTCGGGTGGAGGTGGTGCATGAAGGAGAGAGGACGGGCGGGACAGGGAGGAACCTGGGGACCAAACAGGCCCAATGATGCCGTGTGCGTGTGTGGGTATCACACCCACTTCCACGTACGTAGCGCACCAGTTAACAAGTCTGTCCATAGATGGCTAACACCGTTGCTCCGGGCCCAGGGAGCGACGTGGTGGGAGGGTGTGCAGGAGGAGAGCAGCTCAGGACAAGGCTACAGGAAGCAGAGAGAGCTGTTGTGTAGACACAGGGTTCAGATCCCTGGTAGCCAGGTGGTGGGGGTGAAGCACAAAAGGCGTAACAGGGCCCCGAATGTTTGTTAAAATCCCCGTGAGAGAGCATCTGCGTCCCTCCCTGTGTACGGTGTTGCAGAAGAGCTGCTCTATTGACGTGACGGCCCTCGTCCACCCTTTGTCCACACGGGTAGCCTGAGCCGTGCTCATAATCCAAAGACACATCCCGGGCTGGGGTCGTGGCTCCGGCGTAGAGCGCTTGCCCGGCACATGTGAGTCTCTGGGTTTGAGTCTCAGCCCTGCATATAAACAAACAAACAAAATAAAGGTGCATCAACACTCAAAAAAAAAAAAAATCCTAAGTGCGGAAACCTTCAGTGAGTCACCTACCTCACTTCAAAGAGAGAGAGAGTAAGGATTTGGGTGGACGGGGGTCCCTTGACATCCCTGGGAGGTTGGTTTCAGGAGCTTCTCAGTTGCCAAAGACCAGCACCTGGCGGAGAGATCGCGGCTGACCTTGGTTATCTGCAGGTTCCATGTCCAAAGACTCGGCCAACCGCAGACAGAAAATGTGCTTTAAAAAACCGAGTTGCCTTTAACACGTGCACACTTTTCTCTCTCGTCACAGCTTCCCGAAGGACGCAGTAGAGCAGCTGCTTGCGTAGTGTTTACCTTGTATTGATAACGTCAGTCCAGGGCCTGCTAGGCTCAGCTCTCCCGGGCCCAGAGCCTGCACCCAGCCTGCTTTCCTGGTGGTCTCCCAGAGTGAAGCAGGGCGCTCTTTCTGTGTGCGGCACTGTGTCGTTGGCTGCCACGCATCTCACGCCGCCCCAGTTCTTTCTCTGCATTTATAATGGGTGTTCATTTGCGTAGTTAGGATTTTACTGAAGAGTGGTAAGCGTTCTTCGTGAACGAGATGGGTGAGTTTGTGTCTCTGCAGGTGTGAGAGAGTTTGTCTAGGTCTTGGGGAAACAGTGGAAGCAGGCCGCCAGTTAATGAAGGGCAGCCTTCCCCACTGATGAACGGTGACACCCCTCTTTCTGGTGACCCCTTCCTGGGCGCCGTGCCGTGAAGCAGGTTATTGTGAAGTGGACGTCATTTGCACCAGGCACGGCGCTGTGAAAGGTGATCGCGTTACTGACCAAGGTCCCAAGCGGAAATCAATCACGCCTTCGCGCCTCTCTGCTCACCCGTTAAATAACCTCCGTGGAGCGTCCGGCACAGGAGAAGGACCAGGCTAGCCCTAGAGGAACCCGGAGGCGGGGGACCTGGGAGCCCCGGTCTGTGTCTGCCACACTGTGGCCTTTGGTGCTGTGCCGGTCCTTTTGGGGGTGCGGGCCAGGTCTTGGTTCAGGGTCCATCTGGAGCAGGGGCTGTGTCCCGTCCCTCTTGTGTGTGTGGCAGCATCTTGAGTCGGCAGGAGCACGTGAGTAGTGTGTCTCACTACTCACTAGGAATCTGCAGACGGCAGGATTCAGAGCCCGACTCCAGGACCAGGGACGGTACGCGGTTCCACTGAGTGAAGCGGGGCTCGCTGCGCACGGGCGGCTCCGGCCCCAGCGAGTGCTCTGAGTTTCTGTCACGTCTGTCTTTCTCCTTGCTGCTGTTCTGTAGGCAGGACATCCCCAAGAGGCGGCGAGTGGCCCTGCATCTTCTTAGCTGATCAGTGGAAAGTGCTTTTGTCCCCATTTTACCTCCAGAGCTTGGAAAAAGACTCTTGTTAGCTTTGGGTTGCTGTCACCGAACACCCGAGGGGCTCCGTCTAAGAGAGCTGTGTCCTGGCTCAGAGGCTCGGGGCTCTCGGTTGCTGCTTGGTGGGACCCCCTGCTTTGGGGCCCTTGGCGGGGCACGACATCATGGCGGAGCGGGCCTGGTAGAGCAAGCTGCACACCCTGGTGGTCGGGAAGCAGCGGGGAATGAGCAGGGGTTGCAGTTCCAACATCTCCTGGGGTCACCCCACAGGGCGGGCGACTCCACCCAGGCCTGCCTCTCCAAGGCTCCCCCCCTTCCTACACCCAGGGCTGTGTACCTGGTCTGCAGCACCTGGGCCTTTGGGGCCACTCAGGTAAAGCACAGTACTCTGCTGGGTGTTATCACACGCCCGTCCTTGGCACCGTCGGTGTGACAGCACATCGTGACGCAGTGGTGATCGGAGCCCGTGGTGGGTGCACGTGGGCCCAGCAGACGGGGGTGGATTTGAACAGCGGCATTGCAACGTCCAGCCCAGGATGGGCCAGGCTGCCCAGGGAGAGGTCCAGCCTCCCGAATCCACACCTGCACCGTGGACTTGACCAGCTGAGTTCAGTGAAAGCCGACCCCCAGCTGTCCTCCCCGGAAACCAGGCCGACGTGCCCTGGCCCTGTTGATAGCAAAGTGCCTTCCACAGGCCCCGCAGGGCGCTCTGATCCAGACACACGGGAACACGGCGGGGGAGTGTGCTGCGTGGGAGGTGAGTGCACGTTAGGCATCTTCAGACGCACAGCCCACGGCCCGTGGTCCCTGGCGCACACGCTGCCCGGGACGGAATTGTCATTTGTGTTTTGTGGCTCGTGGGATTTTTGTGGGCCGTGTGGGGTGTGAGAAGAGGTGCCAGACGCGTTCACCCAGTCTGTGAGCGGAAGGCGAGGCTCGTTGCTCTGTGTACATCTCCCTGTAGGAAGCCGTGCACCTTAGACCCTTCCTGAGGATCCCATCTCACACCTAGGGCCAGAGAAGTCGATGTTAAGTAAACGTGTTGCACAGCGGGACCAAGAATGATGGTTCTCTTCTACCAAAAGTGTGTCTTAGAGGAGGAGGGAACCCCAAAGTTCTCCCCATCATCTCTCTCCTGAAGGCATCCCGTCTGCAGGGACTTTGAAAAGGAACATGGCGTTTAATGGACGTCCACTCGGGTGTCTCAGGATTTTTGTTTTAAACTAGAAGTAAACGTATTGTTTGCAGAAGCTTCCAAAACTACTCCGTACATCTTCGCCTTAGTTTCCACAGCATCGTAGCCTACGCTATGTGGACGCGTTGCCTGTTGGGAAACTACAGAAAAAAATGCCTATAAAGGGCCAGACCTCTGAAATGGAAGTCCCAGTGGACTTCCGCGGGTCCCAGGCTGACATGGCGGTAGCTCCCAGACCTCTACTCCTGCCTTGAGTTCTCAGAAAGCTCCTGGTCAGCTGGGGGCTGTTAGAGTCGGATGGTGCTGGGGACAGTAGTTTCTGAATTGTATGGATCTGATTTTTTTTTTTTTTTTTTTGCCTGGGGTTAAAATATTTCCCAGTCCTGATACAATTTAAAATAACGGAAACCCAGAATTTTCTGTCTGGGAGGGAAAGAGGGCAAGGTCAAAGTCACCACCCAGGCTGCCTTTACTACGCGCGGCACCTGTCTCCGGCATTCCTGCCTCCTGTTAGCCCTGCATTCCCGAATTCCCAGGTGGGAGGCCGTCGGAGGCGTGGAGGCGATTAGTTTGAGCAGCAGCCTTTTACCCCAGTGTGTTTTCCTCTGTCCTCAGCTTGAGGGTGTGTGGTCGCGTTCTTAGCGCACTGTACAAGTGCGTCCCATTAGAGAGGTGACCTTCGAGTAGCTGCATTGAAAACTCACTTCCTTCTTAGCAGCTCTGAAAGCCAAACACACCCTGAGTGCACTGTAACTCACCACCTTTCAGAAAGCTCTTTGTCTTCTTGAGGTCGAGTATTTCTGTGTTCACATCTGTATGCTCTAGAAATTATAAAATTTGCCTGTCACCACAGTGACCATACGCTGCCGCTCCCCCTAGCCTGTGGCCCCCGTTTTCCATTCTGAACTAGAACGGCCGGTCGTCGTCGTGCTGTCTTATGCGCAGTATCCAGCCTCTCTGTGTGCACTTTTATTTGCTTCGTATTTTGTGTTGTGGAAAGAGATAAATCGTCGCCTTTATGTTTGTGTGGATCTAACATCGCGTGACGCTGACCGCGTGCCCCTTCTCACCAACTGTTGTCGCCAGCTTTTTCGCTGCTGCGTCTGAAAGGTCTGACCACAACAACTCGAGGAGGAAAAGCGTATTTGTGGGGCTCAGGGTTTCAGAGGTCCCAGTCCACAGGCTCCGTTCCTGGGGACCCAAGGTGAGGCCACCGTGGCGGACGAGTGTGGCGGAGGGAAGCAGCTCACACGATGATCAGGAAGCAGAGAGGGGTCTCCACTTGCCAGATACAAAGACAGACCCCAAAGCCGCCACCCAGGGCCCACCTCCTGCAGCGACACCCCACCCCTTCAGGGTGACGCTGGTTTTAAAGGCAAGTTTCAGAGCATTGAGCTGGGGCGTGGGGTCAGCCGAGCAGCCGTGGGCTGTGCAGGCCACACAGGGGTGTGCACGTGGCTCCCGCCAGACAGCGAGGGTGTATGCAGAGGGAGCTTCGGTCACCTCTTGATCCAACCCCCTTGATCCAGACGAGGCTTCCTTGCTCCTGTTGTTTCCCGGGAGCACGGGTGACGTCCCTTACCACAGGTGTCTCAGGGGTGCTTGAAGCAGGGTGTTTCAGATCTCAGACTTTTTGGAAGTTTGGGGAAGGTTTGCACGTTCGCAGTGAGATGTATAACAAGGAGACCTAGTGTGTGCCCTTACCCGATGCGTCCTGTTCTTCTGCCAGCTGATGATGGACCGTTTTGAAGCTGGATTGGCAGAGGTGGCGAGCACTGCGTGTTGTGATGAAAGGTAACGGTCATGCCCAGCCTCCGTGAGCACAGCTGGGCGCCAGCCTCTCTCCTGCCATGTTACGTTCATCACCCGGCTTCACGGTGAACATCCAGGGGAGGTAAGAGCCCAGCCTCAGGGGCGCCCAGGTGCCTTCCCGGGTGGGCTGGGCATGCAGGTGCAGAGCCAGGAAGGACATGCAGGTGCAGTCAGAGCTCAGAGCTGCCCTCTGAACCTTGGCAGTAGCAGGCAGCAAACGCAAGCTGGTCCCACTACGTGCAATGTGGAGAAACTGTCATCGATGTCATCGTGGCCCGTGCCTTCCCTCACGTTATCCAGTGAGTGTTCTCAAAGAATCGAGAACAATTCTGCTTCTTGATTCCCCCTCCTGTTCCCCTCAAGCAACTCAGTTATGATGATACTAGCAATTACGGGCGGCAGAGTCCAGCAGTGTTTGCCCTCAGTTAACGAGTGGCTTTGGGAAGAGTGGTAGTGTGTCCTCCAAGATGACGTGCATAATCCCACCCAAATCCACCCCAGGTGCGTCTGACTCGCCTCTAGGGGCTGGGGGCTGTCTCCAGTCTGCCCCCTGCCGGCCCATGAGTCAGCCGTGGCAAGTCACTGACCCGGAGCTGATCCCCAGGATAGGAAGAGGGTCTCGGGGCCAGGCGGGCCTCGTCCTTCCACCTAGTCCTTCCCCAGCAGCTTGCCACCCTCCAGGTCGGCTCCACCGAAGGGGAACCGAGCAGTTTTGTGCACACTTCATGGGAGGGCTGCTTTGCCTTCGGTGGGTCAGAGTGTCAGTACGAGGTGAGTAGTGGCCAGGAGACAATCCAACCCGCACCAGGGCTGGCCGCCCGCTCCCTCTTGCCGCTCACGGACCGTTATCTTGACTCTTGAGATCAGATACTCACTGATTTCAAAGAGAGATGCGTTCGGTTCTGCTGTAATGGAAATCCGGTGGTCACGGAGGAGAGCTGCCCGTTCAGTGTTTTTGATTTCCATTTCTGTTTACCACGTTCACGGGATCACCAGATAGCCGTCCTTCTGTTCAGCGCGTTTCGAAGATTTTTATTTAAGTGAAGAGAATCGGATTGGGAAAGAGCATAAAAGTCCTGAAGGCTCATTGTCTGGCATCGGTGTTGTGCGGTAATCAGCCTCGGTGCCTGTTAGTTGGCTCCCAAGTCAGAGCTCCTGCGTGGGAATCTGCAGGTCAAGCACGTGGCGCCTCTGTGTGCAATACGTCTGACGACGCTCCACGGTCAGGAATATCCAAAAAGAACAGACGGAAATAAAACGTAGGTGAATCCTTGTGAAAAAGAATTTATGAAAGGAACATGGGTGCTACAGCTGTATTTGTACACGTGAAAACACACACACACACACACACACACTCAAGGGGGGGCATTTACTTTATGAAAACAAGTGTAAGTTCTTTCTGTTCCTGTTGGAGTTTAGTTTAGTTTTAAGAAGCGAAATATCTTCCTCAATTTTCAAAGACGTGGGTGCATCAGAGAAATCTTAAAGGACACAAAACGTCGACTAGCCCTGAAAACGACTCAGATGAGGCGTCTCCACGCCCACGGGGAAGCGTATTTTGTGATTTTCATTGTGGAAATCTCTTTCCCAGATTTTGCCCTGAAGCCTTCCGTCCGGTGCTGCGGGTAGAAGATGCGATCTAACCAGAGAAGCGCCACTAACTGAAGCGCCACTTCCATGGTCAGCGATCTCATGCCATTGATTACATGCAGTGGATTTCGCGTCCAGGCATCTTGTCTATCACCCAGATTTACGGGTAGCATTTCAGGAGATAATTGTGAACGAAAAGGGGCCAGTGATTGCATGAGATATTCTTGTCTGAGTATTTACGATGTTTTTCACCTCCCAAATGATTTCTTACCTTCTGCTAACAACCGGCCGAGTTGGAATTGGTGTCTCACTAAATCATGACGTTCCAGGAGCCTTTGTGCCGGCAGTATTGATTGTCGGAATGACATGGCTGCTGTAAAGCGGTGTATTTTCAAACACCCTGTCGGAACTTTCAGGCAGGTGGTTTTCGGGCCAGGAGCTTCAGTATCGGCTCCCTGGTCCGAGGAGGTGGGTGCTGGGTGGTATTTCTCAGAGAACTGGTCCACGGCGCTCTGCACGCTGCATTTTCTTACCTCTGGGTATCCACGGAGCTGGGTGTGTCCTAGAGAAGCACGTGCTCACATGTGGGGGCCGTAGTCCAGGGAGACGGTGACCAGCCCCTCAGTCGGGGTGTGTGAGTCTCCCGTGGAAGGTGGACCAGGGCCACGAGAGACCCCACCAGCCAGTCCCTGGGGTCAGGCGCCAGGTGGAGACCATGGGACTGGTGGGCTGAATAGTGGCCCGGGGAATTGCAGTGTGGACGGCGGGAAGAGCTGACCAGGCACATTAATGGGGACCGTATCACAGTCCCAGGAGAAGGGCAGGCTCCTTGGGAATTGGCTCGTGGGTTTAAAGGTGTTTGGTGGAATGTCTTACAGAGAGGCGACTGCGCCCACCTCACGTCCCTGGGGTCTTTCTGTCTAGATGAGGGTGAACGTGGTAGGTCACATCCCAAGGATTTGGCCTAGAGGCTGGCATGCAGCAGGTGCTCAGTGAATACTTATGGGTCGAGACCAGCTTGTCTGTGCCGCCTGCTGATTGAGGACCTGGCACCCAGAACCCTTCAGCCGCAAGAGGCCGCGTGAGTCAGAGCAGGTTGGAATAGGATGACTGACAGCCCGAGGGCGGCTGGAACCTTCAAGGGCAGTGCTTTGTCAAAAGCCGAACGAACACGCGTGGATTTCAGAATTCAGGTACGGTTATTTAAATCAGCTCACTATACACGTGTGTATATACGTGTGTGTGTGTGTGTGTGTGTTTAGTTCATTTTGAAATACCCCATTAGCATTCGTTTTGGTACTTTTACACGTGTACACACACTCGGACCACAAGTTTCATTGTCCTGGCTTGAGGTGGATGAGCATTTGTCCTCCCTGGTTCATGCAGACCGCGGGTTTAAAATTCAGGTCCTCCTGCCTATGGCTGTGTGCCTTAGGAGACTTACTCACCCTCTCTGTGCCTCACGTTCGTAATCTATACATTGTGGGCGACGGTTCCAGCCAAATTACAGAAAGTCCATAAGGCTAAACAAGTTAACAGGTATGAGAAGCTTGAGATACAATTTGTCTTTTATTTAAATGTATTTTTTTTGCTGGGGATCTAGCTCAGTTGGTAGAGTGCTTGCTTCGCATGCACAAGGCCCTGGGTTCAATCCCCAGCACCACCAAAAAAAAAAAAAATTGTTTTTTAGTTGTTGATGGACCTTTATTTTATTCATTTCTTTATATGTGGTGCTGAGACTCGAACCCAGTGCCTCACGCATCCCAGGCAAGTGCTCCACCACTTGAGCCACAATCCCAGGTCTGTTTTAATTATCATTATCATCGAAACGGTGACAAGATGACTGTTAAGACCCGAGCAGCGGATCAGACTTATATTTCATGTTGTCTACTTAGCATGAAGCTCTTTGATTATTTTCAGAATATTCAACATTGACGGGTAAGAGTGACCGCAGCGAGGACAAAGTGAAATGGCTAAGGTGGAAAGGCAGTAACTGAGGCCCCTTTTCTTTCTGTACATAAAACAGAGGCCCTGAAGAACGCCAGTTCTCTGGGACTGAATACGTCTTAGAATTCGAATGCATTTTTCGTGCAATTTGCACATCTGGCATTATTAAAAGATTCGTGTCTCTGAGCTGACGTGGCATGACAGAGTCAGTTTGCACAACCAAGCTGACGCGAGTGGAGCGTGGTCTGTGATCAGTGTCTGTTCCAAAGCTTATGTCACCGGCCCTCTGGCGGAAAGACCGACAGGCCAGCAGGTGTCATAGCTCGGGAGGAGTTTCCAAGTCAGTGAACTCGTGGGAAACGAAGAGGCGACGCAGTCTGCGACGGGTAGGCCACGGGAGATTCTCCTTCTGCTCTACATCCAGGTGTCTGAGTGCGAGACCAGCTTCCTCACGCTTTACTGTCCTGGTGTTTCCCTACGAGGTAGGGCACGACCCCCTGCCCTTGCCAGGGTTGCCCGGAGGGGACGGGTGTTGCATGCTGTGGCTTTGCACATGGAGTCTGGTCCAGTGGCAGACATGCCAGGGACCGCCAGAGGTGACCATGGCTGTGTCTGGGGGTGTCCGTGTTCACCAAGGGTCTTATTTTAACGCTCTTCCTGTTGGGTTATTTTATTTGAGACGGCACGGAAGGAAGGTACAGGTTAGTTCAGGGGGTTTTCTTACAATCCAGCTTCGGTATTAAAAGGGCTGTGCGCACAGAAAGTGGCTTAGTGCGTTTGGGCGGCTGTTAAAATTGTGAGGTGCCGTTCTCATGCCCCAATCAGCTCCAAAGGCCACGCCTCCTAATGCCGTCACTTTGGGGTTTCAACCTAGTGTGTTTGGGGGGACAGACTGCAGTAAGTGGGGGTTATTATGCAGGTTGTGATCAAGTGGTGGAGATTATGGCAGTGGAAGGAGGGGGAAGAGATGGAGGAAGAGCCACACCGGTGCTGAGAGGCGGTGGTGCTACGGTGGATGTTCACTGGGCTCGTCCCGAGAGCCCCGTGGACTATGTCGGAAACACCGTGAGGCAGCTATTAACGTTATCCCAGTTTTAGAGGGTGATGTTTGGGAGCTGGCGTGACTCGTCTGTGGAGTTCATAAACGCCCGCCGTGAAGGTCAAACCCAGGTAGCAGGAGGGCCCGCACCTGCTCTCCCCTGCCACCGTTGAGACTCAGGACAAGGGCGCGGTGCTGCTTCTGCTTTTTGATTAACTTCAAATGATGCGTCGAATCTTTCTAAGCCACAGTCTCCTCTCCTAGGAGGAGTCGACAGTCGCAGCCGGCGGAGCTTAGTTATTGGGTCGATGTGGGAATAAACAGTAAAATCCAAGGGCGACGTTGTTGATGAAGCGCTGTGAGCTCTTCAGGACGATGGCTGTGTCGGTGTTTAACACTTGAGCCGGGTGTAGCTGCGCTGGTCGGGTTTCAGGTAATCAGCGTGGAAAGAGACAGGTTCTGCGGACTCTCAGTTTTAGAGGCTTCCGTCCATGATCTCTCGGTCCCTTGCTTTGGGTCTGAGAAGGCCTGTCACCGCAGGGAGCAGATGGGGGAGCAGACCTCGTCTCAGCTCAGGGTGGCCGGGAACTGAGAGTGTGCTCTGGGGTCCCACAGTCTCCTTCAGGGACCCGTCCCCAGGGCGGGAGCTTCTCCCACTAGGCCTCTCGGAGGTCCCCCTCCCCCACCAACAGCACCACGTCGAGGACCTTTAACGCAGGGACCTTTGGTGGGCACGGAAGATCCGCCATATTGCAGCCGTGGTGTGCGGTGACACAACAGTGACACCAGCAAGTGCCACCGGAGCATCCTCTAGAATCATACTCCCCCAAGCTGGGAGCTGGGAAGGCACGGGTGGCCCCCGCCCAGCTGTGTGTTTGCATGTCTTGCGGGGAGCAGCTGAAAACTGTTGATGCCTAAGACCCCGCCTCGTCAGGAATCGGGTTCCCTTGGTCTGGGGTAGCACCTCGAACATGCGTGGATGTGTGTGATAGAGTCACACGTGTGTGTGCGCGTGCAGGTAACGTGTGTGCTTATGAGTGTGGGCGCCGCACTCTCCCAGGATGATGCAGTGTGTTCTCGGGGGGAAGTGCTGTTCTCTGGCAGCCAGGGGGCCGTCTGTTGGCTCTGGCGGGTCCAGTGGACACCCTTCTGCTGCTCAGGATCCCGTTTCACGAGGGCACCCCCTTTTCTTTGGTGTCGCGGTTCAGATGATAAGTTGCCCAGTCCCCTTGCTGATAGAGAGCGGCTCTTTGCCTTGTGAAAAGGCAGAGTGTCTGACCGGGGCTCTCCGGGTCTCGGCCTGGACTCCTGTGACCGCCCCTCGGCCGCGCTGGGTGTCACTTACAGACGCTTGAGAGAACAGAACTGCCCCGTTTTTGTACAAGAGAACCGTGCTGGGTTCCCATGTCACCCATCTGCGTCTGGCCACGCAGAGGCCCCGCCTGGCCCCCCGGGAGGAGGAGGAGGTCTGGCCGTCTGGACAGCGGTGCCTGCGCCTCCTCGACCTTCCCGTGAGACCTGACAGTTGTTGGGTTCAGGAAGCAGGTCCCAGCTCCATCGCCGACTCCGCGCTGCTTTCCTGAACGTGGTGCGTGCCGTCACGGAGCTCGGTGGCCGAGGCGTTGTGACCTGGCTGCTGATGACGTTCAGCCAAACTTCTAACCCAGGATTCCGAAGAGCTGTGACCTTCCGCTCCTCTGGCCGGCGCGGGGACACTGCTGGCTAGGCTCTCCCCGGGATGTCGAGCTTCCCCTTGTCTCTGTGCTGTGCTGGGGATGACACTCAGGGCTTCTGTGCTCTGCCCCTGAGCTGCACCCAGCCCCGCGGGGTCAGTTTTGATTTGGGGATCTGGGGCAGCCTGGCCCAGAATAGTACCAGAAGAACGCAGGCGGTTCCACCCGGGCGTGTTGGTTTACGAGGCCTCACAGGACGTCTGTGGGTGTGAGCGTATTTCTAAGATGTAGGAAGGATTCCTTTTCACCATTGGTTATTGACAGACTCTGGATCTTAAATATCCCCCAGGCTGGCCTGGTGGCCCATGCCTGTCATCCCGGAGGCTCGGGAGGCTGAGGCAGGAGGATCACGAGTTCAAAGCCAGCCTCAGCAATGGTGAGACGCTAAGCAGCTCCGTGAGACCCTGTCTCTAAATAAATGCAACATAGGGCTGGGGATGGGGCTCAGTGGTTGAGTGCCGCTGGGTTCGGTTCCTGGTAAACCACGCCCCCCCCAACATATCATCCAAAGCGCATGTGTTCAGTCTTGGTCCCAGGGTGTCACAGTTGGGAAATGGTGGAACTCCAGGGGGAGTGGCCTAGTGGGAGGTCTTTAGATCATTGGGGATGTGCCCTTGAAGGGGATTGTGGGACCCCAGTCTCCTCTTCTTTCCTTCTTCCCATTCCCTGGCCATGCGGTGTTTATCTTTTTGTCTGGGAGCCGTCCCCCCGTGCTCTCCTGCCTGACTGCAGGCCTGAATACACAACCAGCCATGGATGGGAACCCCCGAACCTGTGAGCCCACAGTGAACGTTTTCCGCTTGCAAATTGATCATCTCAGGCGTCTGTGACCGTAACAAAGCCCATGAACCTCAGGCGGGTTGTTCAGCATGAGCCAGTCAGAAACGAAGGTCTCCAGAAACAGAGACGTGCGTCCAGATCCACCAGAGTAAACCAAGCACAGCAAAGGTTCATGCCACCCAGCACCCATAAGTGGCCTTGCCTGCTGGTGGAACCCAGGGTCTGCGTCACCACCGGAAAGTCCAGCTCCGAGCCTTGCAGGACACTATAGAGTGTTTGCCGGTCTGGCTCAGAGCTGTCGAGGCGGAACCTCAGAGGTTGGCCCTGGAGGGTGGAGGGGGTACTAGAAGTCTCCGAGAGCCTTTGCAGACTGCACCGAGACCCTCTGGTGCTCAGAACTGCGGCACCCTAGGGTGATGGGGGAC